AAGTGAGGTATATATTCCTCTGTCCTGAATGGTTATAAACTAGATGTTATTGCTCTGATATATAAGTGATGCCTTGGAACAGCAAGTTTTAATGCGTAAATAGTGGCATTAAGTAGCCTCGTAGCTCCTGCATGCTCCATATTGTCTTGCATTTGCTTGGGGGCCCTTCTGCTTGTGAAGTTAGACCAAGGTGATTTTTTTTCTTTCTTTTTTTTTTTTTTCCAAGCAAGGCCAGGATATTTTTGTGAGAACACCCAAAAGCAGTTCCATTTGCCAAAATAAGCCCAAATTTGTTCGTGAATTGACTCTTGTTTATGTCAGAGCCTCAGACATAAAGAAGCTTATTGAGAAATGAATGGCTTTTTTTTGTTATTAGTGTTGTGAAACTGTCCGGAATTGTTCCTCTGGTGTTTTGTGACTGAATGTATAAAATTGTTTGTTCACCTCACAGGAGGCCCTTGGCCCCAGTATTGTTTCCTGCTGTACACCAGCTAGTGCTGCTTGATGGTTTCTCTGGAATAGAGAAAGGAGGCCTCACACAGGTCAAAAAATAGGCAGGGTAGCTCATGCAGGACCCTCTGTGGTAGCCGCAACAGAGGCCAGGGTGCGGAAGACAGCGGGGGCTGTCAGCCACATCTGTGTTTTAAGCAAAGCAAAGTCTACCATCACCTCTCCACCCCTTCCTCTCCTCTCTAGCTTTAAGCTTTTTGTCTTCTGAAGTAGGGAAAGTGCAAAAACCTCCTTTTATAAAGCTAGTTGGTATCTACCCATCTTCTCTTCCTCCCTGGCTTACCTGCAGCCTAGGAAGAAGAGGGCAGTGGGCCTTTCTGGGAAGATAGTAGGGCAGCTTCCGGTCAGGGAAGATAGGAATAGAGTTGCTTCGGAGTTGCTCTCACTAGGTGATTGAGGACAGGCCTTTGGGTAAGCTGGTAGTTGAGAGAAAAGGTGTGTTAGAAACAAAGAACTTGTCGTGAAACTGATCCCTTGCATCTGCTGTTGGAGTTCTGCGAGGGCCTTGTGGAGAGGAGGTGATGGTTGCTATGTTTATGTATCTGTCTTCTACCATTTGGGAATGCAAGGGAGATGTGTACATTAACAGCTTGCATAGGGTAACTTCTACATGGGAGTGCATAGCATTGGCACATACAGGTAAAAGGAGCGTGTTGCTTCTGCCATGCCTGTCATAAAGGTTTTCCTGAAGGGTATGATAAACTTGTTTTGAGACAATAGCTTATGATCAAGAGGCTATGTTGTCCTCTGTCTGCCGAACTTACTATCCTCGCAGAGGAAGTATGAACCTTCTGGATGTTGAACCACCTGGATTCCACCCAAGCAGGTGGTCAAGATGGGAAGACCTAAAAACAGTGCCGGGACAATTAGAAGGAGAGAAGCAATCACTTAAAATGGAGTTCAGACCCTTCAAATCCTTTTCATGTAACGAGCACTTGCTGTAGTGATGATCCCTTTTTCTCTACTACCTCTTTCACTCTTAATTGCTTAAAGTACACTGGCTGAACAGGGAGCAGGTAGGAGGTGATCCCTAGTTAACTGATAGTTGTGGAGAGGTGCAGAGCTCAGTTGGAGCACATAAGGGCTGACAGGGAGGGGATGGATTGCTACAGAGTTGGGTTGGAGTAGAAGCTTTGCTGCTGAGGTTGCCTCTGTCTGCTGTGGGCTGCCCTGCAAAGATGGTAGGGGTTCTTCTCTGAGAGTGCCAGTCAGATGTTGAAAGGGAGAGCTGCTAAGACTGCTCAGAACCTCTGTCACAGCTTATCTCTTTCCTGGGGTAGTAGAGTTTTGGCTGGGAGGGGGATTTTGGAGGAGGAGGTGGAAAAACCTTTTTTTATTATTATTGGTTTTTTAACCAGAAAATGTAGTGTCAGCACAAAGCAGCTTTTTGCAAATCTGTCAAAATGTTAAGTAGCTTTTTTTTGCTTTTAAATCTGAAGTATGTTTTGAAGCACTTTGGAAATGCAAAGCACTAGGAGTGCTAAGTACTCCTTATCGTCTGTCTAAAAGTGGCATTTGAAAAGCAAAAGATGTATCTGTTTCAGGCTGCGGGCTGCTCCTTATCATTTTTCCAGAGCTGCCACCCAACCCTTTGCCTCCCTACCATGGCTGGAGGGGAGTGTGCTCTGCCATGCCAAGGAACGGAGGGTGCCTTGAGGGAGTGGGGGAGACCTGCTAAGTCCCTCACTCACCTTTGGGGTGCAGGTTGGCTTCCTCCCTCCCCACCTCCTTTGACTGAGGAAAGGGAAAAATGAAGTTGAGTTTCAGTTGGTGTGGTCCTGGTCTGGAACTATGACCATATCTCGCAGCTCCAGAGACATCTTCATAGTTTCCTGTCTGAAAAATTGCACCTTATTAGCTTAATTGAAGAACGGGGAGATGTCTGTCCTTTTGCAGGGAGTGGGGAGAGGAAGGGAGGGTGAACCAGGAGCTGTATTCAGTAGCTGCTGGATTTTTCCAGAGGCCATTTCCTCACCTCATCTCCAACAGAATGGCAACAAAAGAAATAAAATAATTTAGATGAAGCTTTTGTTCTGTGTATCTCAAGAACCTTTTGAGCAGGCTAAGGAGAGTCTCCTTACCTAGCCAGCTCTACAGCATGGGGGGACGACACCCTAGTTCTCTCACTGAGTTTTCAGCACCAACCTTTTCCTTCAGTGTATGCACATCATTCAGACTCTTTAGCACACTGATTTGGTGTGCTCCCTTTCTGTTGGGGGGGGAAGATGGGGGATGACAGGGTCAGTTAGAGGGGAGGGTCCCCGATATTTTTCTTCCTGTCTCTTCAGTTGTTGCTGTTGTTCTGTCAGCACGCTAGAGTATTGGAGTCTTTGCACACAGAAAGCTTCCTTTTTGCACAGAATGAGCTTCTAGCTTTTGTACAGACTAATTGAATGTATTTGGGGAGGGGGGGAAATAGGGAGTAAACCAATTCCAAACAAACCAATCAGAGTATAATGCCTTTTCTGAGCAAGTATGTGCTGTAAAAGGAGATTGTAATAGCAAAGGGAGGGCAAGCTCAAGTATAATTTGACACCAAGTGTGGTTTTATTTTTGTACTGATATGGATAAGAGACTGTACAGCATCTATTTATTTAGATGATTTATGTGGTAAATGTTGCAAACAAAATTATTAAAATATTAAATATGAGAACTGACATTTACCTCTTGGTCTGTTTGTGTGGTCATTTACCTCTCCTTGCTTTAATTCTACAGCTGAATTATTTTCCACCAGTCACTTCTATTGGTATAAACGTGCAGTGCAGCTGGAAAAAGAATGGAAAATGTGCATGCATGCGTGAGAAAGATCAGTAAAAAAGGATCGATGAAGAATGGAGCCTGCAAAAGGCTGTTTCTGACATTACTCATTGCTTTGATTGGAGGAGGTCAGGTTTTTATTAATTTTTAACCCACTGGGTATGTTAGAGCTGTACAGAGGTGACCTGGGACGGTTGGTCTTTTGATGGATTATAATTTGAAGAGGAGAATGCCAATGTCAGGGTGACTGCTGCTCTGGGTTTGGGGAGTTCTCAACATCCTTGCACAAGGCTGTGGTTCCAGGACAGCTCTGCTAGCACCAGGAGAGTGCTGATGTGTCCCATCTCATGTGTTTCTTATGGGAATGGAGAAAGTCTGAGGCAAGGCCTGGGCTGCCAGGCACGCTCCACACTGGTTGCCAGCAGGGAAGCAGCTCTCCTCCATGCCGAAGCCTCTAGTGGGTTGTCCTGCAGGGCTTCCAGGGACCTCTTCAGGAGCACAGCTGCTCCTGGGCAGAGTTTGACCCCTGGTTCACCCCAGGTAATGCAGGGCTTAGCTGAGGAGCCCGTGTACTGGAACTGCTGATACTCCTTGGAGAGAATCCCAAATGTCGGGTTAGTCCACTTCAGTGTCTGACTTGCTCCCTCGAGGAGTGTCCCTCTCCATCCTCTGTGGAGGGGCAGGATAAGCTGTTTATGGAGGTACCTCAGCAAGCGAATGGGGCTGCCCGAGATGCCTTTGATAGGCGTAAGGTGGGGGTGAGCCCTGCACCTGAGCACAGCTGTGATGTCAGTCACAAAAACATGCAGAGCAAAAGCAGGGGGGGATGGGGTGCATTTCCTGAGTTGGTCATGGCTCAAGGCAGTGTGATTAGGTCTTGCCCATGTTACCAAAGCACAGTCAGCATGCTTGCTTCGAGCCAGGGCGGCTGGAGCTGAGTGATGGCATTGGAGCAGGACTCCAGCCAGCCACTTACTCTCTGGCAGCAGCAGCAGCGAGCGAGTCAGGTAAAGTTGGAAGAAACTGCAGTGCAGAGTTACGGGAAAGCCTACTCTGGAGGTTGTGCCTTCCTACCCCTGCCAATGCTGCAGAGGGTGGCTGGCAGTAGAAACTCACAACAGCTTGTCCTTTCGCATGCATGTGTTGGTTGGATTAAAGGTTAATCTGAGCAGAACTTCTGTTTTTTAATAATCTGTTGCTATGCCACCCCTCCGATCCGTGCAGTGCAGCTGGCTTGCCTTGCACGGCTCTCCCCTTTGGATGCCTCAGAACAAGGCCACTCGGCAAGAGGGGAACCACACGGTTTGGGCAGCTCGGTGTTCTCTGAGAAGCACAGGGTGAAATGCAGTGCGTGTGACCCCTGCAATGGCACCTCCTGTCCATTCAGTGCCACACATCTCCCCTGTTCTTGGTCCTTCTCTTTCCAGTGTTTTTCTCACCAAGCCACTGTTTTCGAATCAAGAATGCAATAAATCTGGGGGACTTGTGTAATGCAAGCAGCAGCCTGGGCAGCTGGGCCTGCTTTGGGCCCAGGGATATCATAGCACCCCAGCGGTGTAGGCCCAGCACAAACCCCATTGGCCTTCTCCTCTCTCTGCTACATCAAAAAGTTAGTGGGCTGGAGGGATGGTTGTTCTGACCACTTCTTGGGCCATGCTGAGCCACCTGTACCTGGTGTGTGGGGAGGTACATGGTCAGCTCCGAGGGATCTGCCTTTGCTTGCGTGTATTCCAGAGTTGCAGCGGTGAAATCTCAGCCCATTTTGACCTGGATGACCACAGGGTTGCTGGGTGCGCGCAGCTGTGTCCATTCCTGGGGTAGGTGAGGGAGTGACCATTTCCGTGCCAAAATCTGCTGCTCCTGACAGTGACCTCCCTGGAGCAAACAGCAGTGGAGTCAGTCGATCAACCCTTGGAGCTGCTCTCATGGAGGTAAGTGCTGCTGTTCCTGACAGGTCCGTAGGAAATGAGCCTGTAGGCAGCTGCTGGCTTTGAGCAGGTGAGTTTCCCACTATCAAGTGCCATTTAAAAGATACATAAAAACATTCTTGCACCTGCTACTCTCTTAGTATGCCGGTATACCGCTGGGCAGTGGTTCTGGTAAGAAAGGTGGTGTTGCTTCCCCAAAGCTTATTGCTTCCCAGTGCTAGCAAGAAGTGCTACAGTGTATCCTACGGCACCAGAGTCTTGCAGACAGCGAGGTGCCAGAAAAATGTTTTATTCGGTGTCTGTAGTGAACAATAGCTTTTCCGGGAGAGCCATCTTCCCAGGTGGGTTTTTTTTTTTAAAGTGTTTTTCTGGAAATGTGAATGAAACAAAGGAAACACCCAACAATGCCCTGAGCAGCTGGATATTCTGCTACTATTTTGCTTTCTGAGAGTAAAAGTTAGATGAAAGTGTTAGGCAATACCTGTGCAATGGCAGCTTGCAGTGATTTGAGCAGTCGCTGTGGCTGGAAAGAAGGTTCTGCTGACAGGTAGAAGGAGAAAATAACTAGAAAGAGCACATGGAACTCTGAAATGCTACTGCCCCTTCTGGTCCATGGATCAGGAGTGCCTTGTGCTCCTGCCCCGAGGCAAGGTGTGCTGTTCATGACCCATGTGTCTGTTGGGGGACAAGACCGTCAGTCTTGGCTGCTGCACCTGTGTTTGTGTAGCGATGTAAAGACTTTTACCCCTTTTAATTTAGGGGTGGCTGCTTTTTAGGGTGGATGATATTGCTGGTTGAAAGTTCGGTTACTTGACACTCAGTTACAAGTGTAAAAGCAGTCGTTTAAACAAAGTGAACAGTAACAAATACGCTAATTTAAATGTGGATGGTGTTAATGAACACTTAATGTGCAAAGTTAAAAAAGTGAAAAGCAAAACGCAATGGGTGTGATGGACTTGCTCTTTTGAAGTCACCTTCAAGCTATGAAGAATTGAGATTAAAATAAGCGGGGTCTGGGGAAACAGGGCAGTTCAGAAGAACTTGTCCCGCTCTAGGTGAGAGTCTCAGGTTTTGTTCTTGCCTGGCCCATGAAGCCAAATACCTGAGAAAGGGCCTCTTACAGCCTATTCTGGAAGTGAGAGATATGACCTAAATGCAGAATTATCAGTGGTGAAGCATGCTGTGGTTCAGTCCCTGACCACAGAAACACCTCAGTTCTCTGAATTGTTCACATCTCGTGGACCGGGGTCCATGTGACTGTCCATCTGCTGTCTCTGTCAGTATTCAGCAACCTCTCTGTTCACCCCCCTTCAAATGGGGACACAGTGGTGAGGAGCAGGTCCTCTCCTGAATCACTTTTCCTCTAGGCAGGGAGCTTGTGGTGGCTGCAACATTTCAGCTGCTAAGGTGAGAAAGAATAAAGCACTCTGACAGATCTTGGCTGAATCGCAGGTAGTGAGGAAAACATTTGTTTTCCTACCTGCCTGTCTTGACTTTGGGAATTCCATCTCAGCTAGTACTGATGTTATAGCCATAATATAGCCGTTTCTGTAATATCCTCCTCCTGGGTGAAACACCTGAGCCGGAGGTGGAAAGGGAAGGTGAGTACAAGTGGAGAAAGGGTTAGTGAAGGCCACAAGGGCTGTGAGTGCTTACTGGTAGGCCAGCTGAGGAATAGGTAGCAGAGGAATGCCAGTGCTCTGCAGGTACCTGCTGATATCATGATGGGGTGGAAAAAGAGCAGCAAAAGCAAGTTGGCCATTGCCTACGGCCCTCATCACAGGTCCCACTTTTTCCAAAGGGTATCTGAAATGCACCCTCTCTTCACCCAAAAAACAGATGAGAATTAAAGCAGGAGAACAAGCTGTGCCAGGTGGTACCTCCAGGTAAGGGAGGACCCTGAGCTCCACATGACAACAGCTGCAGGGCTGTAAGCTTCCATTTTGAGTCCCAGAGAATGATTTTTGACTGAGTTTTTTGTTTCATTGTCTTTATAGCACCTGCAAGAGAGTGTAAAGCACGCTGCAAATTAATTAGGGTTTTGCAGAAACAGTCAGGGCAGGAAATTCCTCTAAGTGACTTAACATTTTTCTGGGTTTTTTACAGGTTTATGTAGCATGCTTGGCCCATTTACCTTGCAGTACCTTATACTGGCTCAAAAACCGGACCTTATACTGGCACAAAACCTGTACCTTGTGCTGGCACACATGCACGCCGGCCAAACAGAGAAAAGAAATAAAGATAACGAGGATTTAAGCGCCTTTATTGCTGATTTTTGCCATTGGTAGGTGCCTTGGGGCTG